CACAGACTCTGACCCCTGGGACCACATGATGTTTACGTTCTTGTTCGCACTGCGCATTTGTTGGGGAAGTTATTTGTCACGGACTAAATATGGCGGCCAGAAGACTATCAATGATACGTGGCCACGCTCCGGAGCTTAGACTTGGACAGGACCGCTGATCCAACTTCTTTCAAGTCAGCCTGACACTCAATACAGACTAAATACATGATAATTTAAGCAATATCAAAGGGCAGGCTGTGTGGCGCGATCATGTCAATTAGTCTTGATGATGTTTGACTCACAATTGTTGCACGCTTATTAAGGGAGGACACTCTTTGAATTGAGTGGCGTCAGCTATGAACGCTATCGTTATTTCGGCCACATTTGGCCGAAGGCAATCTAGACGTCTTTTATGGGCGATAAAGTGATATGCCCCAGTTACTCCTGACCCCTTCTTTAAAGGAGATTGACCCACGGCCACGGGATAGTATGCAGTGCAGGGGGTCATTGGATGACCAGAACCGCCTAACCCAGGGTTTCTCTACTGTCACCATAAGAATATGAACACAGAATCTGTTCTATGAAATAGAGTCTGTCTAGTAATGACATGTCACATTGTGAACACACATACTATATACAATAGAGTCTGTCCAGTAATGACATGTCACCCTGTGAACATAGATAATATATGAAATAGAGCCTGTCTAGTAATGACATGTCACCCTGTGAACATAGATACTATATAAAATAGATTAAGTCTAGTAATGTCATGTGACCCTATGAACATAGATATTATATACAATAATAGAGTCTGTCTAGTAATGACATGTCACCCTGTGAACATAGATACTATATACAATAGAGTCTGTCTAGTAATGACATGTCACATTGTGAACATAGATGCTATATAAAATAGATTATGTCTAGTAATGTCATGTAACCCTATGAACATAGATGCTATATAAAATAGATTATGTCTAGTAATGTCATGTGACCCTATGAACATAGATACTATATAAAATGTATGCATAATAATATCATGTGACCCTATGAACATAGATACTATATAAAATGTATGCCTAGTAATGTCATCTGACCCTATGAACATAGATACTATATAAAATGTATGCCTAGTAATGTCATGTGACCCTATGAACATAGATACTGGAGACCGATTGAGTTGCCATTTGATCACTTTCGGCGAAGTTTAAACAGAGAAGTTAACTTTTGAATTGTTTTCGGGTTCGACTGAAGCAGAAAAGTTAAGTTTCGGTTTATTTTCGGTTTCGGCTGAAAGTGATGAAGACTTGCGGCCGGTTGGCAGAAAAAGATTGAGGCCTTCGGTCTTCTACCAGATGTCAGATTGTCACTCAGTCTGTCGGCCGGCAATCCGATATTCATGATTGTTTTGACTTGTTGCTGTCATCGTGTTCTATAGAACAAATCCTCTGCGAGCACTGTTCATAGCAGCATGATGACTGACTTGTCCAAAACACTGCTCACAGCAGCATGATGACTGACTTGTCCAAAACACTGTTCACAGCAGCATGATGACTGACTTGTCCAAAACACTGTTCACAGCAACATGATGACTGACTTGTCCAATATTTCCACAAATGAAATGTCAAAAGGGCAAAGGTCAACAGTTTTGGGGAGAACAAAACAACAACCAGGGGAATGTTTTATTTATTTATTTTTTTTTTTAAATAAAAAAATTGGAAACCATTTGTTTATTCCAACCATTCTTCATGTGTGACATGCGTTTGGAGGAATCATCTTGTCATAGTCAAAGGCAGTGATTATTTCAGGAATTGTCCCGGGGGAGGGGGGCGCACTACCGGGAAACAGGGATGTGCATGATCCATGAGTTCGGTTGGTTTTAAAAAAAAACATATTTAAGACGTTTCTAGTTGACCCATGTCACCATATGAACATTGATGTTGTAGAGCTCTGTCTAGTAATGGCATGTCACCATATGAACATTGATGTTGTAGAGCTCTGTCTAGTAATGGCATGTCACCATATGAACATTGATGTTGTAGAGCTCTGTCTAGTAATGCCATGTCACCATATGAACATTGATGTTGTAGAGCTCTGTCTAGTAATGGCATGTCACCATATGAACATTGATACTGTAGAGCTCTGTCTAGAAATGGCATGTCACCATATGAACATTTATGTTGTAGAGCTCTGTCTAGTAATGGCATGTCACCATATGAACATTGATGTTGTAGAGCTCTGTCTAGTAATGGCATGTCACCATATGAACATTGATGTTGTAGAGCTCTGTCTAGTAATGGCATGTCACCATATGAACATTGATGTTGTAGAGCTCTGTCTAGTAATGGCATGTCACCATATGAACATTGATGTTGTAGAGCTCTGTCTAGTAATGCCATGTCACCATATGAACATTGATGTTGTAGAGCTCTGTCTAGTAATGGCATGTCACCATATGAACATTGATACTGTAGAGCTCTGTCTAGAAATGGCATGTCACCATATGAACATTTATGTTGTAGAGCTCTGTCTAGTAATGGCATGTCACCATATGAACATTGATGTTGTAGAGCTCTGTCTAGTAATGGCATGTCACCATATGAACATTGATGTTGTAGAGCTGATCATGTAGAGCTCTGTCTAGTAATGGCATGTCACCATATGAACATAGATACTATACAGCTCTGTCTATAGTTGGTCATTTTCACTATAACCTTGCTCATATTCACTGTAGACTTGGGTCATATTCACTATAGACTTGGTCATATTCACCATAGACTTCGTCATATTCACTATAGACTAGACTTGGGCATATTCACTATAGACTAGACTTGGGTCATATTCACTATAGACATGGGTCATATTCACCATAGACGATCATATTCACTATAGATTTGGTCATATCCACTTTATTCAAGAGGTACAACTGTTGGGACACAATGAAGTTATTTAAGAGGTACAACTGTTAGGACACAATGAAGTTATTTAAGAAGTACAACTGTTGGGACACAATGAAGTTATTTAAGAGGTACAACTGTTGGGACACAATGAATTTATTTAAGAGGTACAACTGTTGGGAAACAATGAAGTTATTTAAGAGGTACAACTTTTGGGAGACAATAAAGTTATTTAAGAGGTACATCTGTTGGGACACAATGAAGTTATTTAAGAGGTACAACTGTTGGGACACAATAAAGTTATTTAAGAGGTACAACTGTTGGGGACACCAAGTAGGTCATGGTAATAATAACAAAATAAGGAAAGAAACACATGAATGCGTCCACTGTTAAACAACATATTTATGGTTGTGTCCAGTGGAACTCAAACTGGCTCTCAATCCATCCCCACCTCACCTGATACACAAACTTACGTTCTACAGGAAGGGGTTCACTGATGTCTATTGGTTGCTCTTTAAGAAATATCCATTAGCCATTAGGGGCCCTTTAATTTATGTCCATTATCGGCTTTAGAACTAATGTCCAAAATGGCTCTAAAATTAATGTCTAAAATGGCTCTAACTCTAAATTTAATGTCCAAGAGAAGCTTAAAAAAGTATTGTCCTAAATTAGCTCTAAGTTTAACGTTCTTTAGTACCGTAACTCTAACATTAACTTCCAATGGTGGCTCTAACATTTAATTCCATTAGTGGCTCTAACATCAACTTCCATAGGTGGCTCTAAAATTAATTTCCCAAAGTGTTTTGTTAGTGACAAAGAGATGTTTGAACCTTTGAACTAAACTCCCATCACCTGCAAACACCTTAAACTAAACTGCCATCACCTGCAAACATCTTGAGCTAAACTCCCATCACCTGCAAACATCTTAAACTAAACTCTCATCACCTGCAAACATCTTAAACTAAACTGCCATCACCTGCAAACATCTTGAGCTAAACTCCCATCACCTGCAAACATCTTAAACTAAACTCTCATCACCTGCAAACATCTTAAACTAAACTGTCATCACCTGCAAACATCTTAAACTAAACTGCCTTCACCTGCAAACATTTTAAACTAAACTGCCATCACCTGCAAACATCTTAAGCTAAACTCCCATCACCTACAAACATCTTAAACTAAACTCCCATTACCTGCAAACATCTTAAACTAAACTCCCATTACCTGCAAACATCTTAAACTAAACTCCCATCATCTGCAAACGTATTAAACTAAACTTCAATCACTTGCAAACATCTTAAACTAAACTCCCATCACCTGCAAACATCTTAAACTAAAACCCCATCACCTGCAAACATCTTAAACTAAACTTCCATTACCTGCAAACATCTTAAACTAAACTCCCATCATCTGCAAACGTATTAAACTAAACTCCCATCACCTGCAAACATCTTAAACTAAACTCTCATCACCTGCAAACATCTTAAACTAAACTCTCATCACCTGCAAACATCTTAAACTAAACTCCCATCACCTGCAAACATCTTAAACTAAACTCTCATCACCTGCAAACATCTTAAACTAAACTCTCATCACCTGCAAACATCTTAAACTAAACTCCCATCACCTGCAAACATCTTAAACTAAACTCTCATCACCTGCAAACATCTTAAACTAAACTCTCATCACCTGCAAACATCTTAAACTAAACTCCCATCACCTGCAAACATCTTAAACTAAACTCTCATCACCTGCAAACATCTTAAACTAAACTGCCATCACCTGCAAACATCTTGAGCTAAACTCCCATCACCTGCAAACATCTTAAACTAAACTCTCATCACCTGCAAACATCTTAAACTAAACTGCCATCACCTGCAAACATCTTAAACTAAACTCCCATCACCTGCAAACATCTTAAACTAAACTCCCATCACCTGCAAACATCTTAAACTAAACTCCCATCACCTGCAAACATCTTAAACTAAACTCCCATCACCTGCAAACATCTTAAACTAAACTCTCATCACCTGCAAACATCTTAAACTAAACTCCCATCACCTGCAAACATCTTAAACTAAATTCCCATCATTTGCAAACATTTTGGTAGCCATAAAAACGATTATAGATGTAGCCTATCCTCCGTGCCTCCCTCAGGCCACTGGACCGCGCGGCGTGCATCAGGCAGCCGTAGTTGCTGTGGGTATAGTCGCCAGCGAACAAAACAAGCGGAGTCTTGTTGGGGGAAAAAAGGGGCATCTCCAGCGTCTTGATGTCCCGCGGTCTGCTCGCCGTGTTCAGATAAGGGTGCGTCCCGCAGAACAGGGAATCCCCGTGCCAGTTAGTTTTGACGATGCGATCGGGTATTGGCACGTCGGTTTTAAGGAGTCTGCTTAAAATTCTGGTCACTTCCTGTACTAAAACCCGTTCCGGGATCTCCTCCAAATTCTGGCCAATGGACGCTATTCGAAGAATGTTTGGCCTCGTGCTTGTTACCTTCAGCTTGTTTGGGAACATTGTTTTGGAGCTCCCTGGCCAGATGAAACTGACGGGGTGGTCCCATGGTGGACTTTTGTAACAGAAAAACACTTTAGCCACCGTTCCGTACCCCATCCGCTGAATGGCGTCGCACTTAACAGCCGGCAGTGCTGGCTGGAACATGCTGTGGGCATTTCGTTTGAGGTAACCAAGTGGGACAGCCACGATGACGTGGTTCGCGTTGATTCGTTCCCCGTCAGCGCAGACAACCTCCGATGTCTTTGTCGCGGGTTTCTTCTCGTCTGCGTCGACTACTGACCAATGGATGGTGGCGGCTTTAGTTCTGAGGTGTACCGTATCCGGGGCAAACCTCTTCGTTAGTTCGTTGATTAGAGAGGACATTCCAGTCCTCAGGACTATTTTTTCTCTGTCTGGGACTACTTTTCCAAGCCATTGCACCGCGGTGTCCTCGGCGATGTCGCTGATTGGATACACGCTGCACTCGGCCAAGCAGTCGATGGCCAGATGGAGATCCGATGGCCTCCCGCCAGGGCTTTCGGCGAGCGATTCCTTTTCGAATCGTCTGCGCCTCTCGGCGAGGTAACTCTTGAAGGGCAGGTTGATCTTGGTTCTGCTGCCCGGCCCGTCCACCACGGTGCTGACCAGCTCCACGTCTTTCTCAAACAGCCGGCACAAGCGTGACGCACGTCGCGTGAGATCTTCGTGGACCTTCGTCCCATCGGCTCTCAGGACTTCGAATACAGACCTGGGCAATGGAAAGCGGTACATTTTAGATTATATATCATTAATCATTTTGAAAGATAATCAGATTATGGGCTTTCAAGGATACCGATTATTCATTTGAATGGAAAGATGATATTTGTGTTTAAAAATATATCATGATTTGTTTTTTAGTAATGAAATTCAGAATTTTCTTGATTATGATTTAAGTAATAAATCTCACGTTCTTGGAAAGATAATAAACATACAACAATAAAATATAGGAGACTAAATGAAGGACGGTGCTCAAGCCGTGCGAAGGAATTAGTAGGACAATGGATGTGTCCTAGAGTGATGTACAGATGTTCAAGTGTCCTAGAGGGATGTACAGATGGTCATGTGTCCTAGAGTGATGTACAGATGTTCATGTGTCCTAGAGTGATGTACATATGGTCATGTGCCTTAGATTGGTGTACATATGTTCATGTGCCCTAGAGTGATGTACAGATGTTCATGTGTCCTAGAGTGATGTACAGATGTTCATGTGTCCTAGAGTGATGTACAGATGGCCATGTGTCCTAGAGTGATGTACAGATGGTCATGTGTCCTAGAGTGATGTACAGATGTCCATTTGTCCTAGAGTGATGTACAGATGGTCATGTGTCCTAGAGTGATGTACAGATGTTCATGTGTCCTAGAGTGATGTACAGATGGTCATGTGCCTTAGATTGGTGTACAGATGTTCATGTGCCTTAGAGTGATGTACAGATGTTCGTGTGCCTTAGAGTGATGTACAGATGTTCATGTGTCCTAGAGTGATGTACAGATGGTCATGTGCCTTAGATTGGTGTACAGATGTTCATGTGCCCTAGAGTGATGTACAGATGTTCATGTGCCTTAGAGTGATGTACAGATGTTCGTGTGCCTTAGAGTGATGTACAGATGTTCATGTGCCCTAGAGTGATGTACAGATGTTCATGTGCCCCAGAGTGTCAGTACCGAGGTTCATGTGCACTGTGCGCCAACAGACCACCCTCGGCAGCCAGGCTGTAAATGGTGTTGTCTGACCCACAGTTATCCAAGGAGGGCGAGCCCATCTCTATGACGTCACCAAGATGCTCACCAATGCGGAGAGTATGGATACGACCTCCAAGTCTGAGGAAATGTGGATTGAACGACGGATTACAAAATAGCTCTCTGGATATGTATAACCAAATATTATTGGAAAAGATTTGTTACAAAAACGTAGGTTTGACAAAGATGACCGGATACGGTGTACATCTGAAAGACCGTCACACAATCGGAATGGAAACTTTCTCCCACCACCAAGGCATATTTTAGGCAGAGCCATCACGTGGGACCGGCAAACCCCTGCAACATTTGCAACCCCTGCAACATTTGTAACCCCTGCAACATTTGTAACCCCTGCAACATTTGCAACCCCTGCAACATTTGCAACCCCTGCAACATTTTTAACCCCTGCAACATTTGTAACCCCTGCAACATTTGCAACCCCTGCAACATTTGCAACCCCTGCAACATTTGTAACCCCTGCAACATTTGTAACCCCTGCAACATTTGCAACCCCCTGCAACATTTTTAACCCCTGCAACATTTGTAACCCCTGCAACATTTGCAACCCCCTGCAACATTTTTAACCCCTGCAACATTTGTAACCCCTGCAACATTTGTAACCCCTGCAACATTTGTAACCCCTTCAACATTTGCAACCCCCTGCGGCTGTGTGTAGGAATTTTTAAAATTAAACTATGACTTTTGAATGCGGGGGCAAAAGAGCCAGGGCACTTCTTCAAGTCACGCGACGGCTCTGATCTTAAGACACAACTCTATCTGTACGGTAAGCCGTTGAGGTCAACTTTTATTCCGACAGAACAGAGGTACCGCCGTCCCCAGTGGCTGGTCAAACTCGTGGAGTTTTTCCAAGGCCACAAACATATGATTTGAATTTCTCACGTCAGTTGTGTATCAGTGATCCCAAGGTTTGGCGTGATACCCAAGGCTTTGATCAAATACCAGTACCATGGAACAGTGAAGGCGATCACCTTGTCAGCAGGTGACACATGCATGGCAACACGCGAGAAGAAGAATAATTTTTTTTAAAATTATAGTTAAGGGAAAATAACATTTTGATACATAACATTTCCATAGTCCAATGTGTGATGATGACCTTCTGTTTTTGCCATGACCTTGCGTTGGTTTTGGTGTGGTCAACCCCAGGGGTCATTGAACCAGATCTTAGTGACCTGGTGTACATTGTACTGTTGACAACATTTCTAGAGGGGTTGGTATCTTTAAGTACCGGTAAAAACATATTTAAAAATACAATGAGGTCCCAGTTGCAGGGGCGTAGCAAGTGGGGTGCGGGGGGTGTCAAGGCGTGTTCTTTCTTGATAAGGAGGGGCGGCATTTGAAGGTTGTACTTGTGGATTGTAATGGATGACGGTGGGAGGGCGCTCAACAACAGTAATATTATCAAGAACAAAGTGATACCACGACGAACAATAACAACAGAGCTTGTATGGAAGATGTAATGAACCATAACAACAGAGCTTGTATGGAAGAAGTAATGAACCATAACAACAGAGCTTGTATGGAAGAAGTAATGAACCATAACAACAGAGCTTGTCTGGAAGAAGTAATGAATGAACCGTAAATAACAACAGAGCTTGTATGGAAGAAGTAATGAACCATAACAACAGAGCTTGTATAGAAGAAGTAATGAATGAACCATAACAACAGAGCTTGTAATGGAAGAAGTAATGAATGAATCATAACAACAGAACTTGTATGGAAGAAGTAATGAATATGACGTCAAGGGGATTCTCCATCCGCTACGAGTTTTGCAGTTATGACCGCGATTGTCTCAACATTCAGTCGTGCGTTCATACCACAATGCGACAAATCATAACTACACCACAATGCGACCACACCATTTTCCTACTCATAACTATACCACAATGCGACCACCCCATTTTCCTATCCATAACTACACCACAATGCGACCACCCATTTTCCAACTCGTAACCTTGAAAACTTGAATGAATGTATTGATGTTGCTCTTACGGTATGACCTCATCCCTGGAAAAGACCCCCAACAAATATGACGTCACCTGTCCGATGCCTCCAGCACAATGACGTTTCTGAAGCCCATCTCCAGGAGTTGATCGGCTGCACTGAGTCCGGCCAGACCTCCACCGATGACGACGACCTTCACAGACGCCATGACGGTCTCCTTGTCCTTTAACATCCAAGTTGACAACCCCATCGCCGCGTCTTTCACCAACCTGGACTCTTTCCGTATCCGGTGAGACCGGTCGTTTCGGAGCTGCGCGCGCAGCATTGCCTTGTCAAACCTCTGCGCGCGCAGCTCACCCAGCTCCTTTAAAACCTGCTCGTGTTTCTTTTTCACCAGGTCCGACTTTAAATCACCGATGGTTTTCCTCGCCACCAAACCGTCGTCCGACCTCCCTGTGGCGCGCCGACTCGAGGGGTCATTGGTCACGCGGTGACTCGGGACTGTGGATAACGGTGGATAATTAGGCACGTTGTGCGGGAGGTGGCGGACATCTCTTCGGGGCGCCCGATGTTCCGTTTTAAACTTGTGCATCGGGGAGAAGTCATTGTGCAGCATGTCGTTGCTGTAGATGGCGCCGAGCTCGGTCAGCGTTCTCTGGGACACGCGCAGCACGCGCTTGTGGGCGGCGTGCGCGAACAGACTGGCGCCCAGGCTGGTGAGGAAGTCTATGACCTGGGGGTCGGCCTTGTTGACGACACTCTGATCTGACTGGAAACTTTGCAGCCGACTGGACATGATGCCGTGAAGCTGTTTGACGTCATTGAGTTGGACCGAGGAAAGGGACACGGGGTATTTGTCGTCTTCCATGGCGGCGGCGTCTGGGGCTCTGTGAGGGGGCACGCTAATATCTCAGAGGTTCTGCACAGGGATTGTGACGGACTCACTAATATCTCAGAGGGTCTACACAGAGATTGTGGTGGACTCACTAATATCTCAGAGGTTCTGCACAGAGATTGTGATGGGCTCACTAATATCTCAGAGGTTCTGCTCAGGGATTGTGATGGACTCACTAATAATATCTCAAAGGTTCTGCACAGAGATTGTGATGGGCTCAGTAATATCTCAGAGATTCTGCACAGAGATTGTGATGGACTCACTAATATCTCAGAGGTTCTGCACAGAGATTGTGGTGGACTCACTAATATCACAGAGGTTCTGCACAGAGATTGTGGTGGACTCACTAATATCTCAGAGGTTCTGCACAGAGATTGTGATGGGCTCACGGGCTCACTAATATCTCAGAAATTGTGCACGGAGATTCATTCCTCCTCTTTAATGTCAATTTACTCAACTGCTGTTTGAGGAAGTGGCTACTTCCAGTACTTCCAGTTTGATTTTTCACGTTACACTCAAGTACATGGCACACGATTTTTCTCTTTGTTGAAAGTCTGACTCAAGTTACTACTGTTAAACAATGATTGCTTGCTCAACGAGCCTGGGCTGTTTCATGAGTTCTGTTTTCCTCAGTGTTAAAATAATGAATTAGCAAATATTATCGTCTACTTGACTCAAATTAAGTTTTAAAAAAAACTAATTTCGTGCCAAAGCCTGCGCCAATACAGGACATGATTACCATGAACTTAAAACA